AAACAAATTGTAAACAAAACACGACCTCTACATAAACCGTACATGAAAAGTGTTCGACAAGTTGAAGAATATCCTGTCATTAGAGAAGACATTAGTCCCAAACGACATATCAAAGCCGATCATTGTTGAATGTGATGCTTGTGAACAAGGGGTTGGTGTAGTACTGTTACATTTGATGCCGGATGGAACGGAAAGGCCAGTCATGTACGCCTCGAGAACACGTACGAAAAAAAGGTATGCTACAGTTGACAAGGAAGCGATGGCGTTAGTTTTTGCAGTGAAGAAGTATAGACAATACCTCAGTGGGAGCCTTTCATGGTGTGGACTGACCACAAGCCACTTGAAAGAATATTCGAAATGCATCGAGGTCTTACCAAAGTAGTAAACAACCGTTTGGTTCGTTGGGCTTTGTATTTAATGGAGTATGATTTTGAGATCCAGTACATCAAAGGACAGGATGTATCAGGTTTGGCTGATTTTTTGTCTCGGTTTTCACTCAAGACACAATAAGTATTGGATCAAGATGAGAAAGAGATTCGAGCATTGGTTCAAGAGAAAGTTATCCAAATCATGAACTTGTACTGGAGTATAAGAAATACCCAAATATGAAGAAACTTATAGACTACCTGGAACATGGTTGGCCAAAAGATACAGGAAATTTACCACCATCCATGAAACCATATTGGAATAAGAGAGAAGAGCTGACATTAGAAAACGGTATAATCATGCGATTAGGAAGAGTTGTGGTGCCACAGATTTTGAGAGAAAATGTATTGAAAGAACTCCACAAAGGACGTCCTGGAATAGAGGCTATGAGGTCCCTATCAAGGTATTATGTCTGGTGGCATAATCTGAATAAGGATGTTGAGTTGTATGTCCGTATATGCCACCCTTGCCAGAGTAACCGCTCATTTGACACAGAAGTACCTCTATATCCTTGGGAGCGAATTCATCTCGACTTCGCAGGCCCATTCGACAACCGATTCTGGTTAGTAGGAATCGATGCTTACTCAAAATGGGTCGAGATTGAAGTAATGGACCGTACAACAACTGCTGCTCTTGTAAATAGATTAAGGACTTGGTTTTCGAGGTACGGCGTTCCTAAAAAAATTGTATCCGATAATGGCACCCCCTTTACGTCCAAAAAGTTTAAGACTTTTTGTAAGAACAATAACATATGTCATGTCACATCGGTACCGTATCATCCAAAAAACAATGGTTCAGTAGAGAGGATTATCAGAACGTTCAAGAGTAGATACAGTGCTTGCAAACAAGAAGGTCTCAGTTCATCACTTGCACTTTTACAAGTGTTGCTTGCTTATCGGAACACCCCACAATGCCACAAAAGACCACAGGACAACCACCATCAGTCCTTTTCTATGGTAGAAGAATACCAACAGCTTTGGATATGTGGAGTAGTAATAGCAGAGAGAGAATAGAGAATCAAGTGTGGTGACAGAAGTACTATCACGACTTAAAATCCAAACAAAAGGAGTTTTCTATCAAACAAGAAGTGTGGGTTCAAAATGAAACGAAGAAGGGCTGGAGACCAGTAATTGTACAAGAAAGGACGAGAGGGCTATCATACACAGTTTTAGTTGGGGGAGAAATAAAGAGAAAACACGCTGACCAGCTGAGGGTGCGTTCACAAAGAAAGCTGGTTACAAGCGCTTGTTGGCAAGCGCTTGCAAGCTCGAACCGGCGTGAGAAAAGTCAACATAGTATCAAGCGTGTGCGTTCACAGACAAAGCTTGTGCCGGCTAGCAAGCGCTTGTTACAAGCTCTGACAAGCACGCAAGAACGTTTCGTACTTGTTTTCCGGCGCTTGTTGACCGAACCAGTCATTTACAAACTATTAAAAGTAGTAAAAGTGCAGTATGGATGTCAATGAGTTGATAGGTCAAGTATTTAGAGCTTCCAATTTCCAAATAAAATATATTGCTCACGTATTGTGTTTTTCCCCTAGAATGTTTAATAACGTAACCATTAGGATAAATGTAGCATATATGTATTAAGATGATAGACAAACACATTTAATAAAAATATTAATTAAGTGTTGGATATTTTATGGATGAAACTTGTATACTTTTACATTATTTACCTAGAAAATTAAAACATCTGAATTAAATCTCACAATATTATTTGCATCATATTAATCAGCTACATAGGGTGTTTAAAACTCAGTTCGAGTAATTTTTAGGTTTTATTATTGGTCCAAAATTTGTTCTGGTGCATGGATAGGTTGCTTATTCCAATTCACCCAAAACTTAACTAAAATTCTTTAAATTTCCTTGAGTATGTAATTAAACATGGTTAACTCCATTCTCATATAAGAAAAAAAAACCTCACTTTGTCAAATTTCAACTGAGGAAATAGATGGTGGTCTACTTCTTCTACTTCTTCCCCGGTTAATTGCATGAAGACCTACTTTCCTTCTACGAATTTTTAATCCTACATTTTTAATCAAAAATAACTCTTCATACTTGAGGAAGATATGTTGGTCTCAACCAGAGCTGAGACTACACTGAGCTTGAAATGCAAGCGTTTGTTGTGAACACACAACAGCATTCTCAAGCGCTTGGAACAAGTGCTGCAAGTAAGTTACTTGTAACCAGCTTTCTTTGTGAACGCACCCTGAGAGCAAGAGAAGGTGCAACTGATCCATTCCAATGGAAAATGCAAATGGAACCTGAAAGTGAGTTTCGGAAACTCAGCCTAAATTGGGTGGGGAGAAATGTAGGATTATTGTTATCAGCTGAGTTATAAAGTTATGAATCATCTGCTATTTGGTTTGTTTACATTATTGGTTGGTTTTTGTAAATAAATAGTTTTGATCGAGTTTACTTAAAATGAGTTTTAATAATTAATCTATATAAATAAAATTACAGTTTTGTCTGTACATTGCTTAGAATCATGCAGTTTTTGGTTACTTTTACGTTTCATAGCCTAAGAAAGCCGAAACGAGTCTTATCTCAATTTCTGTCTGTATGTCTGTTTGTCTGTTTGTTTGTCCATTCTGTGACTCCGTCTGTAACGCCAAAATGTCATTTTACGCGGCCTACTCCTAGAAAACTAGAGTAACGATCAAGGTTCTAATCGTTTTTCTGTATTTACTGGATTGGCGAGAGTGTCTTTGGCTATAAAAACATGGCCTCGCTTCTTTGAAAACAAAATAACGAACCACCAAAAACACAATTTTGTTCGATTTTTGTCAAATTTTCTCCCAATGTTTACTATTACATTTTATGAAATAACGATCAGCTGTTTGGATTAGTTCTCACTTCTAGCTGTCACTGATATGTTTACATTAAAAGTTGTTTACAAATACCGCAACCATTTCCGATCAAGTTTAGTCAGCACATCCAAACCAAGTGAGATTAAAAACGTTGTGCCTTACTTAACCGGTTTAATTAATCGCAAGTGCAACGATTGTTCTTGAGTTTTGATAACCGGGGAAAATACCGTGAATCAGTGTTGTATTAGTGCAAGGAAACTTATTTTTTTTTAATCATCGGCACCAATACCGTAGCTTACAAAGGTTTCCACTCATTGACGGCGCTTCAAGGACAGTTGTGTAAAGTGCAAAGTAAAAAATTACAACTGCAGTGGGTGATCGTGGATGTTGCTGCGATCTTGGAAGATCTTTCTGATTTCGCTGTGATCGTACCGTAACGGAGGTTTAACTTAACAGATGTAGGCTAAACTCGCTTTTCCAATGTGTCACTTTTGGTTTCTACTTACTTACATTTCGACAACGATATCGGTACGTTTCCTACTTAGGAAATAAAACTACAAAAGTACAAAACCCCAGATTTGTGCGTTTTTTGTCACATTTCCTCCGAATGTATGCTAAATATATGTACCTACCGATTATCGTTTAGAGATTACGTAGTCTTTTAAATGAGAAACCTTTGTTTGGATAAAGGTGGTTTCTTCAAACTGCCATTAATATGTTAACATTAAAAGCTGCTTACAAATAATGCTATAAATGGGAAATAACTTTGATTTTCGAAAACTAAAAAAAAAAAAATTAAAACCAAAGGAGATTAATAACTTCGGTACTGCACCACATCAAGTGAAAGTTTTTTTAGCAAACCATAGTAAGTTTTTAAAGCTTTACGTTGTTAATGTTACATGTTACATGTTTTGTGGCCTGTGTATTTATTTATTTATATATTTGCCAACAGATTAATTAGCACCTATAATACAGTTTGATTAGAAGGACAGTTTGAATTAGTCGTAAATACTACAGTTCTTTTCTCAAATGTAAAAGTTGGTTTTTGGTACTGCTACTTTTCCTTAGAACCGGTGGTAGCAGTAAGAATAATTTTTACATAAAAACACATCACTATTTTCATTTTCACTATTTATTTATAAACACTGCCCCTTATTGCTTATTAAATTTAATTGATGTATTACTGTATAATTTTTAGCGTTTTCTGTCTGGACTCAAAAATGTTGTGTGGACTCAATTCTGTATTTGTGTGTGTATGTCTGTTGGTAACGCAATTAAGTCCTTATTTTTCGTGGAAAAGACAAGAGCACCATTGTTAATAACAATTTCGACCCGAATAAAGTGGGCAGTAGTGAGGTTGAGGTAGTGTTTTAACTACTTTTAACCAGTGTGAAAAGTAACTTTAAATTACAGGCCTACCTTAGGGCTATGCCTCATAGACCTATACTGTAAAGCAATTATTTTCATCGTTTGATATAAAATATGGACTAACACGATCGGGTGACATTTAATTGCAAAGCATTCGTTATGGCTTTGAAACTGTCAGATATTGTATTTGAGAAGGTTTATATGTATTCCTAAACAGTTATAGTTTTGCCATCATATCTGGAAAAATGCACACTAAATATGCAAACCAACTCCTGTTCTGAATATAAGGTTTTAACTTACTACTAGATTCCCGTACGTAGAACGGGCAAACAGCTAGTTATTCTATAAATAGCATACGACGAAAATAATTTCAGCAAAACTTATAAGTCATACTCACCTTGGAATTCTTTACAAAATGCGGTGGGTAGCTGAAAAAATAAAAAAAATAGAGTTTTTACAAGTCATAAGTAGATTCTGTTACTATCGTTAACCGTTGAAGCCGGACTCTCCAAAGTCCATTCACAAATGTCGGTGGTTTCAGGGGAAGGTTTCCTGGAAACCCCCACTACTTTTTAGCTTAATCTCTCGTATCATCTGATCAGCTGTCGGTTGTAGTTTCAACGTTGGAGTGGAGGGGATGGAATCGCTGCCCCTCAAACCGTCTACATTTTTTGAATGGAGTACTAAGAGCTTGCTTCGTCAAGTCAATATATAAGCAATACATAAGCAAAGGAGTGTGGTATAAATGACGTAAGTCATGTTAATGGTAAAAACTAGGTGATACTTCAGCCAGGAACATCACCAAATAAAATAAACTATTGATGATTGACTAATGGCCAACTTAGCCCAGTTACGAAATGCCTAATCTTTTACCCACTCTTATAGACTTATAAATTATTTTGCACACACAGGAAATATTTTACATCACTATACATCCATTCTGCTCACAACTATTTATATAGCCTATGAAATCGCTATTCTAACTATTCCAGTTTGATTTCTCGGCTGTACATCGAAAAACAAGTACAGAAAACACCCATGAAAACAGATTATAAGAGCACATGAAATCTGCTTCGACTGTTAAATAATTTTTCCAATAGAACAATGTACGGAATGTTATGAGCTTTGATACATAACTATGTAATTTACTGTTTAAACGTAAATTACAAGTTTGAAGCATGGATTTTTTACAGCTAGAAAAAAAACTACCTTGACATTATTTAGTAGCTATTGATATCTGTCGGTTATCATACATAGTATTCATTCCATTTTCAAGAGTGAAATTTAGAACTTTGTTTTTCAGAGGAGATATTTTAATATGTAAATAAAATTCCTATACAAATTAAGTATATTTTAACATTTTATTTCTAATCTTTTCAATTATAACAGTACAGATAAATGGAAATCGGAATTAGTCTGAGCCATAGTATTCCCATATGGTATTTTTTTTTACCATATGAGAAACATAAATATAAATCTCAACTATACATCCAGGGTGCCCCAAGAAGAGGTTTAAACTTGGATTTTAAATTACCTGCCCAATTTAGCACAATATTTTGAAAGGGTGGTGTGGTGAAAATTTTTTTAAATTTGTTTCCCAATTACTACTTTCTTCAGCTATTACCTGATATGTTTACTGTTATGTAGTTTTAAAACCCTTTTATGGAAACTCAATTTCTAGGAATAACTTTTGATGTTACACAAAAAGTGATGTATACAAAACCGTGAAATCGTCTGATTTCTTCGGTAACATTACCAAAAGTAATATTCCTCAATCAAACAGCCGTTCAGCATACGTGACGATAATAAGTGACAAATAAGTGATAAAGCTGTAACCCACTAAACGAACCAGGTAACAAGTTAATGTAATTAGTACTAGCAGCCAGCGTCACTCACTTCGTGACTTAAAAATCCGTGATATATTTGAATTAATTTGCTATTTTTTATTGCTCTGAGTTAAGTTCAATATCATATATTTTTACGTGATAGACTAATGATTGACTTATCCCTGACTTGTAATTTTTCAAAGCAAACCCTTAAAACTTTGTAATTAGTTTTTTTCAAATACTAATGAAACATATTACGAAAATACAGAATCTAACTTAAGTCATTTTCTTCTTTACGTTTTATACAAATGACATTAGAATATTTTACTTGAATTCACCAAAACATCACCAACTGTAACGATAGTCCCATTTTCGTATGGATGTAAACAAAATTGTATTATGGCTATCTGTTTTGATATAACCAAATTTAAACTTGAAAAAGTTCAGATGATTGACAACAGAATCCAGCAAAAATTCTGAAATTTTAAAAGCCTATAGGACGAAAAGCTTTCACGAGATATCATCCAAACCCGCAAAAGGCACATCTAGAGGATAAGAACTTAAAATTGATACCCATTATGCCTATAAAAATAAATATTCAGGGGTCGATTTGCTGAATACAAAAATCCAACAAATTCTTTCAATAATATATATAATTAACTTGCAATATGCGACTATTTTGCTTCTGAATATGTTAGGAAACTATTTTTTGCTAAGAACATGTTTTTATTCTTGTTTTAAATCTTTCAGCGCATAAATTGTCAATTCATATTAAATCCACAATTTAAACGTCTTTGTGGGACACCCTGATACTTATTTGGAATCTTCGCCACCACTTGATTCGAGTAATATTTCGTACCATTTTCCATTGATCGCTTTTACTGTAGGAATTTCCCCAATCGTAATATTTCCAGTTTTTCACCTCACAATTTTCACAAGATATCAAAGAGTAGAATGTAGCAGGACATGTGATTCTGACCGTAAAAATAATCAATTTAACGTCGTGTTCATTGTGTTCTTTCACGTTAAAATCACGAAGTGTGCTTAGAGAATCGCATCGACGAACATTCTGTATGATGCCTAAGGAGGACGTGTCTTCTTTAAGAACTTGCAAATAAAACTGACGCTCCGTTTGATCTTTTTCATTAGGTCTCATAATGGACTTTTCGTAGCATTTTAGTGTAAGCTTTTTAGTGAGGCCACTGTTTGGATCAGGCGTAAATTCATATTCTGCAACCAATTCATGTTCTGGTAGGAGAGTTCCAATATCTCGTTCATTTGTATAATCTGCAAATAAACAAACATTGATTACCTTAATTTCCAAATTATTACTAGAAATTCAATTGAGACTTATTATTAGATATTGCTGTTAGATAGTTTATTTATGAACCTGGTGTATTCTCACAAAAATGCATATTATTTGGTCAATGAAAACATAGCTTTTCTTAAGTCTATGATAATGCACAATAAGCTTCGGTTGACGTGCTTGGACCATGAGTCCTCCCCTCACAAACAATCAAGTCTATAATAAAAACACACAAAAACATGTATTTGTACCGAAGATGGAGTTATACGAAAGCAATCATTATAATTATTGTAGTGAATGCAGAGAAGTTATAAAGTTAAAGGTTTTGAGGTAGCCTATGTTTTCAGGAGTATAAGAGTGATTTGCACCCTAATGTTTACTGTAGACGCAAAAAATGCTTGTTTTTCAAACTATACTGAGTTTTACAATTTTAAAACAAAACCAAAACCTATCAAGGCAAGGGGCAATATTGTGGAAAGATACAGTAATGCTTTTGACTGTTTAAACTTACTTAACGTGTAATTACATAATCATTTTTATGCCTTGGTGTATTAGCGAATTTCCCTATAGGGAAGTAGCTATTTTTTATATTGTTCGCTTTTTTAATTATAAAAGCTATTGTCCTAATAAAAATTGGGGTGTACCGGTACATTAATTTTTTTCCATACCCTACAGTCTACAGTTTTAAATGCTCATTTATATATTGTACTCATGTCGTGTTTTGATCTGATGTTCTACGAAACTAGATTTCATAGTTGTTCTATTTACTCATTTTAAAGCGTACACTCATACTTGGGATATAATACACAGTGGTAAATATAACTAAGCGACTATACAGAAACATTTTAGCATTCATTACCGAGGAACAAACACGATTAACTTTCAGCACCTTATTCAAAATTAAATACAGTAAGAAATTAAATAGAACTAACAATTTTAAACAGACTTTTAAAACAGAGGTAAGAATCTTATACTAAATATTATACAACAATGATAATAATAATAATGAATGTAGTTATTTAAATAGCAGTGAAATGAAATTCGATTTATTTTCCTTTAGGCATTGTACAAATGCAATGTGCATCGTCAATATATACAAACACTATACACGACTTAACCTAAGGAAAAAACATGCAAACACAGCACGCAAAATAGGCTTATGCCATAGACAAAAAGAATTCTTTTTGTCTATGCTTATACTCACATTTTGCTAGAATGTTAGGTAGCTCGAGAATACTGACTCTTAGAAAAATATATACAATTTGCATCTTAAAATTATTAATTTTTTATTAAATTTTGTATACGTTAATTTAATTTAAATTTTATTTATTAAAATAATTATTAGTATAATATGCATTTAAATAGTGATCATTGATGTGCCGTGATCTGGCAATGGTTCTAGTCATTTCCTACTTAAATTGGTAAAACCTTTAAATCTTGATATTGAACATTGTGATGCGTTGATATGGTTTTAAAAGAAGTAATATTCCTATATATTTAGGATTATTAGAGTTAAACTTAAATGTAATTCATTTGTAGTTCATTCACTTACGAATTGTAGGACATGTATCATCGCCATCGCGAATCTGAAAAGGTAAAAAGAAACAAACGTAAGCTTGAAGAATAAATGAATATTGCTACTCAGTATTCAGTAATATTAATACAATATTCGGTCAAAAGCATGAGAAATGGCAAAGCCCCTGGTTTAGACAATATTGCGGCCGAGATCCTAAAATCTGGCGATGTCGCCACGGACCTACTTCATCCACTACCTTGGCAAGAGGGGAGAACACCAAAGGAATGGAAGAAGGACATAGTTGTTAAAATACCAAAGAAAGGGGATGTAACAATCTGTAACAATCGGAGAGGTGTTACCCTTTTGTCAGTCCTAAGCAAAATGCTGGTCAGAATAATCCTAAACCGGATAAAAGGATCCATTGAACTGAAACTAAGGAAATAAAAGGTAGGTTTTCAGGAAGCAAGAAGTTGTGTGGATTTTATTAGTACTCTCTGAGTCCTACTAGAACAGAGCAAAGAATTTCAAAGTACTCTCTGCCTGGCATTTGTCGATTTCGAGAAGGCCTTTGACGCATTGAAACACCAGGTGCTGTGGCATGTTCTACAAGAATATGGCCCCCTTAAATCATAAATATTATCAAAGCCATGTTCAATGGTTTCCAGTGTCAGGTTTCGCAGCAGGGAAAGTTGACTGCAGCAATCCTAGTTAAAATAAGTGTTCGCCAGGGCTGCATCTTATCACCAATACTGTTCCTTTTGGCACTCGACTCAGTTATGAGGAAAGTAACAAATAATAGAAGGCGGGAAGTGCTGCAGTGGGGACTGAGGGAGTGGCTGGAGGACCTTGACTTTGCTGACGAGTTTTGCTTGATTGCTCAGAGGTACACCGATATACAGGCGAAACTAAGTTCTCTACAAAGAGCACTTACTAAACCTAATGTTATCAATGTAATGATTTGAAACTGTTTTTCTTTGTCTCCACTAATTTCAGAGAACGACTGGGCGTAGAAACTCGGTAGAGGTGTCTTAAGAAAGGTCTTGGTGTGTAGATAAGCCCTCAAAAGAGAAAGAGGTCAATTACTTTTGGGCTCTGCCCCAGTGGCCTTTAAAATTCCATTCCTATGTTGTTATTCTATGGACGATAAGAAACAGAGGTTTTGTCACAGCTTTAAGAGAACGGCTGCGCGTAGGAATTTGGTAGGGGTGTCTAAAGAAAGGTCTTTGTCTGTAGATGAGCCATCAAAAGAGAAACGAGGTAACATCTTGTACGAGGTACCGAGGTAACGAGGTCCCTTGGGGCTATGGCCTAGAGGCCTTTAAAGGTCCTTCCCCAGATGGATAAGCTTACAAAATGTTTTTATGACACAGCTGTTAATAATGGTTGTTCGTATTGTAAAGGTCACGACGTGATATAAACATTTTTTAAATCTGTAAAAGTGAAATGGTGACATTATTGTGTGACTAATATGATCAGGTACATACCTTTACGTCAACAGTTCCATTTTGTAGTGAATAACTCACAACATGTTTCGCCTATTCAGGCATCGTCAGGTGATATCCTAGCAAGAATGCTTTGTCTTCATCCATGATGGAGTCGTCAAGAAACATTTAAATAAATACACAAACACGCACGAAAACATTTAACAAATAGAGTAGGCCTACTATTACCGGTCGCGGTACGGAGGCAGATCTCTGCCTCCGTACCGCGACCGACAAAGGTGTGCTATTCCCGTAATTTGCTGTTGAAGTCACAGTCACCAAGATTGCAAACACCATTTCACCATTTAGAACAAAAATATATAAACAATAACAATCAAATCAAAAACAAATATATATATATTTAAATATGGCAATACTGTACAATCAGGTGATTTTTCGTTTGCAATCTGGGTGACGTCAGAATATGACGGGAATAGCACACCTATGTATTTTCCTTCCACCATGACTTGAACCTCATTGGTCCGTTACCTGTGTTATGATAAAACTATGATGTTATGAGAAACTTTTAAATTCTAACAACTGAACTGAAACGGCTATTTTAATAAACGGTCGTAGGTAAATGTATTAAAATGTGAATCCAAATATATAAAGTTTTAATACTGTTTCGAGTAAACATTTGTTTGATCATTCACACAACAAATTCAGCAGTATCTGATGGCTCAAAAATAGTGTTTCCTCCCATGCAACACCTAAAAGGTTTAAATTCTTGTATTTTGAAATATTTATAATTCTTATGGGTCATGTAAGGGATGTCCTTACCCTCAATGTATAATGGTTCTCACTGTTATAATTTATTTCTGAATGTTGTAGAGCAATGAAATATCACAAAGTAATTGTTGGAGTCTCTATAGATTGACAAACCTAATATTATTTAGCATTTTCGAGCAATATTGCTGCTTTTAAATACATCGGAATACATTCAGTGATTATACATAGTTCCTTAGTGAATTTTCTCAAACCTGCCTAATGACCTTGGACCAAGGTCCCTTTCATATACCAACTCCCTGATTCCTGGTCCTGCTTTAATGACGCAAGTCCAAAGTACAGTAAAGAAAATGTTTTGGTGAAAAAGTATTATGGATTTGGTGTTAGTGCCTTAATGAAGTTCAAACTGCTTGAGCAGCTGATCAACTGATATGAATGTGGATAGGCCTACTGTTAAATAACATTTTTTTATGTATGAAATGGTCTTCGTTCATTCTCATACGTGACTTCGGAGCGTACTCCTAGTAGTAGGCCTACTCTATTTGTTAAATGTTTTCGTGCGTGTTTGTGTATTTATTTAAATGTTTCTTGACGACTCCATCATGGATGAAGACAAAGCATTCTTGCTAGGATATCACCTGACGATGCCTGAATAGGCGAAACATGTTGTGAGTTATTCACTACAAAATGGAACTGTTGACGTAAAGGTATGTACCTGATCATATTAGTCTAATAAACAGTTCAGGGGCTAAATCATGAATTTTAATTATTTTGTGGTTTTAAAATTGATTTTCCCCTGCATGATACGTTTTTAATAAATTAAAACAGAAAAAATTAAGATACGATTTAAATTTGATTGTTAAAAAATCTATGCTTTAATGCATTTAGAAAATGTAATAGGCCTAAAATTATGAACATATGAATATTAAAGGAATAGATCATTATTCCTTATAGGGCTTGCGTATATTTATTGTAGGGGTTTGGTACTCACCTTTTTGGTCTAATTTCAATAATATGATTTATTATTACATAAAATAAACGCAAGAGCTTTCGTGAGATTATTAGCATACATGTTTTCTATAATCGGAATAATATAGTTTTTTCGGGAGAATATTGTGTCATAAAATAAAAACCATGCAAGTGTAAAGGAGTACGTTGAGGAAGTGAGCCATGTTCAAGTTCTATCGTTCAAGATCCATGGTTTTGGTAGAGGAGAGAAATTGTAATAGCAACTAAGTTTATTTTTATGATGTCAATTAGAAGTTTGTTTTTGTAGAGAAATCTGAGGTAGATGCTATGATCTTGACAGTTGATTTATAGTGACCTATTTCGACAATGGCTCACTGCTCTCGAATGTGATATTTGTAAAACACTGCACTTCAACTGTGAGGATATTTAGCACAAGAGTGATTGACCTTCCTTCCTGGTACAACCTTTTCAACAGAAGATGACTTGATACAAGGTTTAATCTCCTTGAAATCAGATCCCACCATTCTTTATACGGGAATTTACTACATAGGCCTACATAAGATTCGGAATACAGCTGCCTCCCGCTGATAAAAATTCTGTATTGCTTATGACCAAAAAGGGCGATTCACTGATACGGTCCAAATACCATCCAAATAAGATTTTAATAACTACACTATATCTAACGTAGTTTTATGAATTTGTGTGAAACCTCAAGATAACAATCGATTTCGACGGGTTTCATCTATTAATAGTAAAATATAAATGTGGCATTCTAAAGGAAGCATTTTAGTGACAGTCCAACCAGGAAAATAAAGGTCCGCCTAGTCTACAGTGTTGCTGTGTAGCTACTATACTTGGTTCTTAATATTATGTACATAATCAACAAATGTGTTATTATTATGTTATTATTAGTAATATGGCACGAATCTAAAAATTTCTTGAGACGGTTTAAGGATTAATTCAGAATGAGTTTTAAATAGCCTGAGCCTGGGTACTAACCCAGATCATCATAGTTGTGTGAAGTTTGCATAGCCACTGTTAACTTATCTTTCCTTTGGGATAGTGATGTATATTGCTAGTATGATTTATTGTGGCAAGATTATATGAAATTTATTGAACTCAAACAATTAATTTACAAATATAATATACAAGCAAAAGGGTTTGAATGCTCAATGTAAACTTATATTGACGAGATCAAATTGTACCCGTCACTTTAGGTGGAGTAACGTATAATCTTTTATTGTTTGTTTTTAAACCCATTATTGTACTATTGTAACTTACGTACCATGCTCCATAAATTATAATGAGGACTTTTTGACTTTTCCATGAACAAAATAACTTCAGTATCTGCAGTTGCACTTCCGTAGAACCAAGACTCTTGGCCAAGTTCTGGTGGGGTTGTGAAGTCCAGATCAAGAGACGCTCCGCTTCCATCACCTTTCTTTATCATAACATAACTCAAAACGATTTTAAATATATTTGAATCATCAAAACAGTTTAAGGCTTTTACTTTTGCCAAAATAAGTCCTTGCGTGGTTTTAATTACCCCGAAGAAAGTTGTAACTCCTCTTGATGATTTTGGATCACTAATTTTGTAGCATTCAAGGATGATGTATTGTATTACTGACGTTTTGGAATGTTTTTTAAAGTATCTTTTAACTTCAAATTTCTTTTCTTCAAAGCTTGAGTCGTCCTCAACTAATCTTTGATCTGAAAATTGGTTTTAGGTTGTTAATACAATAATTATAAATTAAATGTCATTTCAGAACACAATTGCAAATAATTTTAAAATGCCTTATTAATGATAACCTTATGAATGAAAGAGTTTATAGGAAAAAATTTTTCTCTTTGCCTAAAGTAAACAACAAAATTGTTGGAGGTGAATGTAAATAAATAATACCCCCGCCGCAGCAAACCTGCAGACTAAGCGAATTTCCATTTGCCTGATTGGATTTACACTAAAATGCCTCCTTAAAAATATCACATTTATTCCCTATTTAAATATCATTAGTTTAACGAGTACTTAGGTTTGCTGCAACAGGGAGGGTAAAAAGGTGTTTTTGTAAAATGTTAATAGCTTAGTATGAAATGAATGCATTATCCAAATTTTATTAAAATATGATCATAAACAAGCAAACTGCAACAGTTTACTTATTCTCCATAAGAATAACATGGAAATTTTAAATTTACAGTTTTTTGGAATTTTCTCAGTAATCATTAGGCGCATAATAACGCTTCAATATACTAAATTATTTGTTTTTTTAAGCTCTACAAAATGGTTTGGAAAGAAAATGCTAAATTTTAAGTTTTAAGGGAAAAAAATGGGAAAAACTAATTATTGCCCCATAAAACCCCCCATAAACTCCTGTTCCCATAGTCCGATCATGGTGGTTCGCGAACTTGTTCAAATAAACGTAGGTTTACACGTTTGTACCAAATTTCATCAAAATCGGATGATTTTTGCTCAAGTTATCGCGCAAACGGACACATATATAAATATATGTATATATAAATAGATATATAAATAGATATATAAATATATATATATATATATATATATATATATATATATATATATATATATATACATATATATATATATATATATGAATTTGAACGGATGGTGTTTTTGGTCTCTAGGGACCTCAAAACGAAAAAGTAAATCGGTCCCGGGTCCAGGTCTTACCATGAGTACTACGGTAATAGCTTATTAGTACAGGTATAATTTATTTTTGTAAAAAAATACAACCGACTTCAAACGCTCTAAAAAGAATGAAATAATTTCAATAAAGTAAACTTTTGTATTAGGCAAGCTCACGTATTTTAAGTCGGCGCGGCTCTATGGTGATTTTTGATACAAAATTGAAAGAGGGTGTCCATACTGCAGGTGACTATAACTAAAGGTGTTAATCTGCATGTCTTTTTCATAGTTATGCGTTAAGTGTTATTTTATTACCGTAACCAGAGATCGGCATTATAGTGGTATTAACGAGGATCTTTAAAAAGATTATAACGCATTTAAATGTTTCTAACTTGGAAAAGTAACGTTTTAATACTAAACTAGCTTTTTTTCCTATCATAATATCAAACTAAATTATTTTCCTATTCATATAGAACATTTGTGTGCGTTATTTTCATAATGCATTTATTCTGAAGTAAACAAAAAATACAAGAAAATATTTCCTTTAATATATAAACAAAACAGTTCAGTATGTGTTTTATATATTTATGTTATCCAGCTACAATTTATTGATTTTCAAAATACACACACAACATTTAATTTCCATCATATTTGCAGTTTGAGCCGCGCCGACTTGAAATACGTGAGCTTGCCTAATACAAAAGTTTACTTTATTTAAATTATTTCATTCTTTTTAGAGCGTTTGAAGTCGGTTGTATTGTTTTACAAAATAAATTATTTCATGATTTTTAGTGACTGTATAATTTTTTATGTATTAATTACTTGAGGTTTTTTGATAAGCAAAACTGTTTGAAACAATCAAAAGTTCCCCAGAACAATTATTATTTTAAAACTGCTTGAGTCACCTGTTCAGGTTACATAATCAATGGGTATGAAAATAAACATTTTTAGATATTCCTTAAGAAAGAAAGAGTTGTCCATTACATTAGGCCTAATGAAAAACTAATTGTCTTTTCTAGATACATTGAAATGTCAGACATCATCGTTTCTTGCAATCGGTGTACATTATAAAAAGAAATACAGTAACGTCTCAAGCCTTTTGGAACAATATGAAAGTTATTCCTCAGCCACCAGCACTAAAAAATCTTTCAAAAGTGGAAAATTGGTCGTTAACACGTATAGTACCTTTGGAAAATATTATATGAAAGATTGGTTCAGCTAAAAGTGGTGTAAGTCATGTAGGGGGTTTTGTTTGATCAAGATATAGCCTAGTAAAAATTGCAAATCATCTTCCTCTAGGACTTTCCGAAGCAGGCATGATAGTATTGATATGTTATAGTAACTGGGTGGAAAATATTAATAAGCATTCCACATCTGCAAATGAAATATGTATATGAAAGATTGGTTCAGCTAAAAGTGGTGCAAGCCATGTAGGTGGTTTTGTTTGATCAAGATATAGCCTAGTCGAAATTGCAAATCATCTTCCTCTAGGACTTTCCGAAGCAGGCATAATAGTATTGATATGATATAGTAACTGGGTAGAGAATATCAATAAACATTCCACATCTGCAAATGCATGTTTAGTAATTAAAACATTTAACACTTTTAAGACAATTGACGATTATGCACTGTCACACTTCTTAGGTAGTGTAAGGAATAATTGCATTTAATTTATATTTAGACCTGTTTTACGAATGCTTTGGTTTTCACAATACACCTTTATTTGTCAATATCATACAGCTATTCACTGAAACATATATGTTTTTGTAAGTCAGAATATTCAATACTAATAAAAAATGAATTACTGTATACACAAATCAGGCCAAACGTTAAAATACATTTTTTATAGTAACCAAAACAAAATGCATTTTTCTCAATGTAATTCATTTAGGCTCCATGGCAAGAAATAGTTTATTGATCAATATGAAGCAACTGTTTCATGAAGAATTGTCTGTAGCTTCATTTAAATGGTTTCAACTAACAGCTGTAGGAATGTTATTTATTGCATTCTCGGCACAAATGTAAACAATCTGCACAAATGTAAACAAAATAAATGTTGAATATTTAAGTTTTTCAGAATTTTTCACCGAAACAAATATTATACCTAAACATAATATATAAGGTACCAAATAGAAACTCTCCTGGTTATTTTGGTGGTGGGACCACACTGATCGGTAAAAGAATCACGGAGAAATTGGTGAACATACATAGAAAAAAAAAAAACATCGCCACAAACAAATTGAGAACCTCCTCCTTTTGTTGGTAGTGGGGAAGTCGGTTAAAAATAGGGTTTTATAAACAACAAAATTTGTACATTCATGAAATTTCACCTGTGAGTTACTAATAATATGAGAAATGAGGATCCGATGAGTCCCCAAAATTTTGGGTGTCCTAAGGCCCTTTTTGGGGCCCTTTTTGTTCCGAAGGGCCCTTGTTTCTGAATAATTTTGTTTTTACGTTTAAGGTCGAGTGAAGTTTGGTTTTCGATGGTTTTAGTTATTTTAAATCGATTGGGACTAGTTTTAAGTGTATTAAACCACTCCATACAGGATGTTTCGAAATATTATTACTTTTTACGATATTTAAACATTTATTCTACAAGGAGGCTAATAAAGTGTGTTTATAGTAAAATATTAATAGCCTAGTAAAAAAATAAAATAAATTTGACAAGTTTGATCAAAATATATCTATTAACAAACAAACAAAATCATTTTACACTATTCTACATAAGAATTACATGGGAATTTTAAATTTAGAATTTTAGAATTTTTATCCGTAACTAATAACCATACAAAAACACGTTAATACTAAATTATTTATTTTTAAGCTATTTAAAATGTTCTAGAGAAAAATTGGGAAACTTTGTGTTTTGAGGGTAAAGTGAATAAGAAAACCCAATTTTTACCCCATAAACCTCGTTCCCATTGTTCAGGACAAAAATGCTTGTACCGACAATGCTGCTCTGATGTCTTAGTGCTGTCATGGTCGTCATAACCACGAAAGATAACTGTACTTGTATTGATTGAAAATAAGTTTGAGGAACTTAAGATACAAGTTGCAAACGTCAGTATGTATGAAAGATGTTTTTGCACCACATTGTTCGTGCTTTAAGATTGGTGTTGCCTGTTCTGCAATATGCAAGGTTTTAGGTTTGTAAAGGGGAATCCTGCTTGAACACCAACTTGGACAAAATCAGTAAAGATGGACAAGTTGCTAAGAATAATAAAATTGTTAATGAGTCGTCTGAGAATAATTATTGTGATGATTAAATTGTAAAGAGAGATACTACATAAATTGTAGAAAAATAGCTTTAGTTTAAGTACTTCATTTTAACATGTAATGTGAGGTTTTACACAAATACAATTGTTTTAATTTTTAATAAATGTAAAAAAATAAATTAAATAACTACCTTAGAAAAATACATATCAATTTGAAATTGGTCTTAATAGATTTGCATAAAAAACACGTTGAAAGATTATTCACACCACCTTAAAAGTTGAAATTTTTGCTTAGTAACCTAGATATTATTATGTTTTAGTGTAAAACTTAATCCATCACCTTTTAGCGAACATCCCATTTAGGAGATAAGATATTACCGAAGGTCTTATGGTAAAACATAGACCCGAAACCGATTTACGTTTTCATTTCGATGCTCCCAGAAGCCTAAAGCACCATCCACTCAAAATATTATACATGTGTTTATATACATATATATAATATAATATATCCATGTTATATACGTGTCCGTAAACATGATAAATCGAGTAATTTTGGTTCAATTTTAACGAAACCGGCATAATCGGTCCATAGAACAGGGTTTTATGTGGTAAAAGTTTGCAATCTTTGACCCTCAAAAGACAAAGTTTCCCAATTTTTCTCTACAGCATTTTAAAGAGCTTAAAGAAAACAAATAATTTAGTATATTAACGTGTTTTGTAAGTGGATTAGTTACGAATAAAATTCAAAAATTGTAAATTTAAAATTCCATATTATTCTTAAGGAGAATAGTGTAAAATTATTTTGTTTGTTTGTTTATAGATATGTCTTAATAAAACTTGTCAAATTTATT